ACGTGATGTTAAGCGCTATAAATTCATTGTCACGTTACCTTCAGCCTGGATACCGTCCGCAAATAATTCGATTAACGATTAATTTGAATCATTGTTATATCGCTACTTTACCAACGTCCAAAAATGTATACATGCATGCATTTCAATTAAGAAGATATTGGCGAGAAATTTTCAATGCTCCATTTCCATAAAATGTTCGATACTAATTTGGCAAGTTATATAATATCGCATTTATATATAAATTTCAGTAATTCAAACATAGATGTAATTAAAAAAAAAGTGATTCTATATATATTACATAATGTTAAGAGAATAAAATAAAATAATAAAAAGTAATAAAGGCTGTGGGAGTCAACGCAGTTAATATCACGCAGTGCAATTTTCTTATATTTATTTAGTTTATTCCATAAATTTTGATATAATTTCAATGAGCGCAACCATAATATAATAGAATGTTTCGACTTCTCTTTGAGTCATCTTCAGAATTAATTATCCACTGTTAGATCACAAATTCTTGTTTTGTAATTAAATTTTTACATGTAACGTAAACTTTACTTAAAAACCGTTGTATTAAGACGTATAGTTTACGTATATTCTCTAAATTTATCTTTATTTTATCAGTATAATTGTTTGCTACGAAAAAATTTTTGTTATCTATGTAATTTTAATTGTGTAATGGATTGTGGCGCTTATGTTGTGATTCCAATAGTCTGTCAACTGTTGGGAAACTCATACATTACATGAAAACATTTGATTGCGGAACAAGAATTTGTGATCTAACAATAGATAATTAATTCTGAAGATGACTCAAAGAGGAGTCGAAATGTCAAAATTCTATTATATTATGGTTGCGCTCATCAAAATTACAAGGTTTATAGAATAAAGTAAATAAATATAAGATAATCGCACTATTAACTGCGTTAACTCCCACAGCCTTATTTTTTATTATTTTAAGTTTGTGGAGTCTTTGCTTTCATTAAATTTAGAATAAAATAATTTATTTTTTATTGTGGAAGATAAGCTAATTTATGTTAAATAAAAATTTTTAATAAAAATTTCTACCAGGACACTGGAACACTGATCGGAGTCGACAATATCTGAAAGCGTGAGACCATCAGCGACGCATCGTTAAATTATAGGGGATAGAGAAAGTCGGATAGACGTCAGGTGATTAATTAAATGAAAGATTAAATTAAGCCAGATAGCAATAATTCTTGCTCGTCCACCACTGCAGATGCTACTGTATTGGGGAAACGAATGCAATGGTACTGTAGCTTTATGTGCAGCGTGTTTACGGTTTGCGGTTCACAGAGAATTTCGCATGAAAGCGAATGAGAGAGAAAGAGGGAAAAATAATATTTAAGCACGATCGTCTGTGGGATGTATTCAAACGCGGCTCATACGAGCATCAAAATACTGAAATATTAAAAAAAAAAAAAAAAAAAAAAAAAAACCACGTAAAAGAGAAAATGAAGAAAATACAAAGCCAATAGGAATGACAGAAATCAATCCGAGAGATACAACAACCGAAAGATTTTAATTCGTTTAGAGATCCTAATTTTCTTACAGGATAAAAAGGCATTAATTAGTATTTTAATGCGTTACAAACGGCAAAATATTTAGCGTCGGCAGCATATGTAGTTGACGGGCAGATCGCAGAGGGACGTTATTCTCGCAACGGGATCCACGACCTCGTGTATGCACAGTCGTCCGTATGTACAGAAACGCGCAACGCAAACTAATTTCATTTACTGTCCCGCCGTGTCTCACCGGCACCTAACTTTACTGTCAGGGCGGGCCCACGGAAGCGTCGGTTTCGACCAAGAACCGGTCCCCCGAACACCGAAACCTTTCTCGTCGACACGTTGCCATCCTAACTCTCGCGGCTGCTATCATCAACCACCATGTACTCCGTATGAGCACTCTACCGGCGCGTATTTTCGGGTCCTTCGGGGATGTTCTTGTATCCTGACCCGAGAAATCACGAGCAAAAAGGCGCACTGAAAGCGATGACACATCTGCACATCAGTGAAGTCAGATATACGAAATACGGGAATATAAATTTTCCCGGGGAAGCTTCTGTGAAACTCTCATAAAAAGCGCGAATGTTCAATATTAGTATGCAGTTTTTTTTCTAGGGAGAGCTTATGAAAGAGAGTTTATTTTAAAATATTTGAAATATAATTTTTATATACGTACATAAGAGAAAAAAGGGTTTTTATGATCCTTTTAACCGACAATTTAAATATATAAAATAAAAACAAAACTTTTTTTCATAATAATAAATCTTAATACAGCTCGTATCTTTCTCTATTCTTTTGTTGTTATAAAAGAGAATTGCAAACCTCGATTGTTTAACAGTAACATAAACAAGTTGTCAAAAACGTGTAAGTACATTATTATAAATTCACATCTCTTGTGAATTGTCAAATTTTCATTTTATTTCCGTTTTTTTGGCATTGTAGCTGTGAGCATATATTCAACATGATAAATTGCATCATTTATCATACTTAACAAAGTGACACTGGACGAGACAAGAAAAACGCGAATATGCGACAATGTATAAATGGGATGAAATTTTGCGAGGTTTTTTCGATTTTCGTGAAATTTTTGGACTCGACTTGAATGAAGCGCGTAAAACGACGGGAACACGTTGCATAATAGAATGTTTTATGTTCCATATCTCATATATTATTGAACGGTGTGAAACGAACTATATATTAACGAAGCTTAATACGACAGCGCGTCGCTCTTGCCTTTTTCTTATTTCCGCTTGAGTTTTATTCAGCGCGACAGTTGAACGAGCCGGCGAAACTCCCTTCTATTATACGGATCGCGGATAATGAATTCTTACGCTCCAGAATCGGTTCTTTGAAATTATACTGTTCCAGCCGAGTTGCAGAGAATCTATAATAATATATAATCCGAAAGAGAGACGAGGAGGAAGAGCGAGCCGTATTTTTTAACGCTCCGATGGAACATACCTACATAGAGTGAGAATTATGTACATGCGCGATCTAGATTTGACTTTTCCCGGTCGTTTCTACAGGAAGTTGACACAGTCTTTCAACCGGGCGTAAATGCCCGTCAAACAAGGAAAAGTTTCGTGAATTAATTACACTTTGCTCCCATAACCGCGTCAAGTTTGTCTGACATTTAGATTATGCATTTCTCATATTCGTCGAGAAGCATTCCAAGCGAGAACGATTTCGCGCGAGCAAATTTTGAATAATAGAGCTATTAAGCTTAAAGACCTCTTCGCACCCATGCAATTCTGGCTTAGCGTATAGTTGTATCATATATATTATTACAATTTAAAATTATTTATCCGTGTCCGCTTTAGATTCACTGAAAAACAAATCTGATAGTCTTTGATATACACACACTGTACAAGTAATAATTACTTGTTTCAAGTATTTCAAAAGTTCACATATCCGAAAATCTGTTATAAATTCATCACAAGCATTAAATTTATTCAAAATATATTCTAAATCTTAGTAAGTTTAATATTTCAATGAGGATTGTTAAATTAAAACAAATTCGATTTGCTTATTAGGTATATGAAGTGGCTTCTTTGATCAATTTTATAATATTCTTCAAAAGAAAATAAATTTTTCTTTTAAGTACATAACAATAAGTTTTTCTAAAATTTGTAATAAGTATATTTTAAGATTATTCTCAAGAAAATATTCTTTGTTATAGTAACCGTTACTCTTAAGAGGAAGAAAGTAAATTGAGTAACTTTTCTTAGCAATAGAATATTTTTCTATGTGTACGTATGGACTACTTATATCAATTTCATATCTAATCTGATGAGTTGCGTCATCATTATTTAAATAAATAAATCAATTAGGACCAATAATATTACATTCCGTGCTCCGTACGTAGCTAATGACCCATGTTAAACTTTTCGTTCAAGTCGTATTTTGACATAAAAAGAAACGTAATTAAAAAATAATTCATTGTATATCATACTCATACAATTATGATATACGATGAGTAGCACATTAGGCCTTTTTCTTTATAATAATTTTTATAATTTTTTAATTATGAAATATTTATGTTATTATTTATCAAATATAAACACAAACAAAAATATCATGAGTTACCTAATCGGTTATAATTATCGGTTACTCACGTCGCGTGATTTGGTTAAGTCACTTAAAAAATGCTGGAATGTAATATATATAAAGAAAAATTTAAAAATATCTGAGACATCAAAAATATGCATCATAACATTTTACTAAATGATAATTTGAATTCATATAGCCTAACTGTTAAGTTGAAAACAAATGTAGTTTTAATCTTTTCACATTTTAGATAACATAAATAGCGATTTCTTTCATTTCAAAGCATTGTATATATATATATATATATATATATATATATATATATATGAAAAAGTGGGGGGATACTAACAGTCCATGTTTGTTTGATCAAAACTAATAATAACAGTTATTAAATATATTTTGTGTAACATATGCATGCAGTGTTTAATAAGTATTACCAAATGTAATAATAATAATCAACTGTTTTGGTAATAATTAGAAGGGTAAGATAATATTTACATAGAAAAGTAAAATGATCATTATTAATTAGTTCAGTAAATGATCTATATTAATTGAACATTTTATTGAGATTATATCAAAGCCTCATTAACTATCTATATAGGCCCAATTATTATTAGACCTTTTCTCAGTGTTTTCACGGTTGATCTTATAACATATATATTATAATATATTGATATACTATTTTAATACATTTATCAATATTGTGTGTGTGTGTGTGTGTGTGTGTGTGTGTGTGTGTGTTTTGTATAAAATGTATAGTTTATTATAGTGCCACAATACAGTTTTAATGTATTAGATAAAAGACGGATGAAGGATGATAGCAGCTTAAAAATATAAAAGCTGGCTAAAGGACAGATTAATAAAGGACTGCCTTCATTTCTCTTGGCTAAGCGGCAAAAAAAGAATACAATATTTAAAGATTCGGATTACCTGATACCACCTCTCGTCGTATCGTAGTTTAGCACTCTATTGCCGTGGAGCCACTGGACGACGCTGTACTGCACCTGCATCGCTATATGACGTACGACGCACAATAATTCGATGGTGCTATCAGCTTCATAGTATTTGTCCCGCAGTGGTTCGCCTAGGGCGTCCACTATTTGGACGGACGGCGCTGAAAAATTTGAAAAGTAAAATTTATTAGGTATCATTCTTCGATCAGCAATCGTATTAAGGACTCGAATGGATAATTCTTATTTAATAACATCTTCTATCATTCGGAAAGAAAGTGAAACACTTTTCAAAAATGCATTAATAACTCTTCGCATCCGACAAACACTCGATTACGCCCGACGCGAAGTCATAATTCTGGTCAATGAGAAAAAGATTGAGAATGTCGCAGCCAATTCGGAGCTTTCCAAGCACATCGTCGATTTAAAGTTTCTATCCTCTTATAAGAAGTTTTCGAGTCCCCATATTTAAAGTAGAGGTACATAATGCTTAGTTTAAATATCGAAATATTCGCAACTTGTACGAAAGTTTTGTACATGATATATTACGCGGAGCATACTGTTATACTTTTGTTGAAAAGTTGTCTTTCATTTGAAACATAATATTTCGATCCATTAACTTCTGATATCCGATTTTTTTTCTAATTTATCGATACTCTCTTATTTCGTTTAGACTCATATAATCTACTCTGTTTGTTATATATGTGTATTATATATATATATATATATATATATATATATATATATATCGTTATATTCGCAATTTCTCGAACTTCTATTATTATTTAGCATTGAAAAGTCAATAAGTGAAGGCAACCGGAAAAATCGGAGTGTATAAAGAAAATTGGAGTATAAAGGTCTGCTTTCTATAACCGAACAGTATATATTTTTGGAACTTAAAGTGAAAAGGATACGTTTGATATTTGGTAGAAGAAAGAAAATTTGGCGAGAGAAAGAAAATTCTAATGCAATCTAGTGCAGAAATAAAAACTAAACCTTAATACACTTTTTATTTATCGCGGCATATTTCTGTCGTAATCGTTATCGCAAACGGTAATTCCGTCTTACAGCGGTCACTTGAAAGATTCTTATTCTAACGCAATCAGTACTATTTGTCGAGTTTGTCGAGTTCGCCGTGGTAATTTGCGCTCCATGAAATTTGACCGTACACATGAGCGTGATATTGGATTACATCGAATTCGGCTTCAAATATTTAACTCTATGGCCCAATAAATATCTCTCATATTGACGTCATTGGGTTGTCCACACGATCAAGTATCAAACCAATGGAGCAAACCGATTCATTCGCCGTATCTCCATCACCGTCTTCCGTTCTGGAATCATTTCAAATTGATTTTTCTTTGTATATAGACTATATCAAGGCTACAAAAAATTAAGCAGTGGAGGGCTACCGAAAGAAATCACGAAAAAGGGAAATGTTTTGGAGATAGATCAGAATGTTCTCTCGCACCGACCTGGTACTCGACCTCATGAATACCGCGCGAAATGTAATCTCTTCCGAGCTCTCTCTTTTTTCTTTCGCCCGGCTTTCTCTTTTTACGTTCCCCATCTGAGGTATGCCGCATTTTATTTTACACACTTTTTTGCAGCACTATACAAAATTTTCCTCATTCCACCATCGTGTCTGGAAATATGTTTTTCGCTTATTCCCCTTTTCTTCTCTCTTTATCCAATAATTTTACGTTAACGTTGCAAATTTTGAGATATCGTATGTTTTCGCAATTAATACAAATAATAGAATCCGAGCAGATATTAATAATTTTTTAAATACTTTGTTCAAATATTTATTTGTATATAACATTATAGAGATACACATTATTAACATTATAATAATGAATTTAACCTCAAATTAGATGAATAAAATTTATATAAACAAATAAGAATTATTCTCAATAAAACGCTAGAATTTTTGTATATTCCACTGCGAAAAATGTGCGAAGGATAGAACTTTAGTAAAGAACAAAGAGCTTTGTCACTGTTACATTTGAATTTAAAACACATCCATTCTACTGTTGAATGTTTCAAGAGTCGAAAAGCAGATTAGAGATTGTATCGCATTCGTAAAACTTATACGCTCTTTTGTTAACATCGTAACATCTTCTTTTATTAATATCGCACAAAGAGTACGTGTCGACTAAATTGTAAAGAGGTGGAGACAGAGAAAGAGAGATCGACGGTAGGCGTATAGAAGAGACGGACGATGGATAGAGGTCGAGAGAGTAGTACTGCATACCAAAAAATCTCGGTTACTTTATCTTGCAGAATTTCAGCTCTCTCACGGATTAAGTGTTGATCCTTCTTTTTACGTGCGCCCATAAACCGGTATGGGCACAGCGACGGTTTTAGCGTCCTTCAAATATGATACAGAGACAATGGTTGCATTCAGCAGAGAGAGCATCTCTGCAACTGTTATATAATTCTTTCATATAATTGGTTCACATTTAGATCCAGGAACTAAGAGCGAGATCAAGCACATTAAAGAAGTTTACAATAGTTGCAAAGGTGCTTTCTCTGTTGAACGTAGTTATTGGCTGCGTTCAGTTGATAAAGAAGATCAATAAGCGTTCAGAATTTTTTTAATAAGTATGATTTATTCTTGCCATTAGTACTTCGCTAGATCTAAGTATAGAAATCAATTATAATAAAGAATCATTGAGGATTCATTGAGTGAACTGTTTGTCTGCTGAACGCAGCTATTATCTACAAAATGAAAACGTTTGTTGAAATATTAAAAAAATTTAGATTACTTAGATAGATTTGAAAAAATAATTTTATTGAACTATTAGAATAACAAAAATCTCAAATATAATGAGCAATGCTAAAAAAAATTTTTAACTTTCTATAGATCAAATTTTTTTATGAAAAAAATTTCTAGTGAAAAATGGACGAATCACAGAATTTTCTGATTAAATTTATTAGAATTCTAATTAAGATAACCGGAATTTTAGTTGATACAATATTTCTGGTAAAATTTAGGATTCTTATTTTTATCAGAATAATTATATCAATCAGAATTCTAGTTATCTCAACTAGAATTCTAGTAGATTTAACCAGAAAATTCTGATTTGTCCATTTTCTATCTAGAATTACTATTTAATCCAACTAAATCTTTTTTTTCAGTATAACTATAAAAAAATTACGCCACCTTGTTGTAAAAAATTAAATAAATTAATAAAATATCGATATATTAGTATATGTAACTTGAAAATTATATGGGCTCATAGAGGATTAACTTTGGCAACCAGTATGAGCATTCTGTGTATATGTATGTGTGTGTGTGTGTGTGTGTGTGTGTGTGTGTGTGTGTGTGTGTGTGTGTTGTAATTATTTTAATAGTCCATCAATAAAATTATTTTCAGATTTATATCTAGTTAAATTTTTAAATATTTTAATGAAACTTTTTCGTGCAAAATTGTGTAAGTTTACTCGTTTTATGTATATTTTTTTGTGCGGTGATTTGTGGTCATACGCTACTGATTGTACCTTGGATACGATAAAATCATTTTCACGTTAAATTATTATACTGATAATAGTATTTTTCGGCATTTACATATTATATCATATAAATTGTAAATAATTATGAACTTATAATAAATAATTATAAACTAAACTCTAGAGATTAATTAATTTGCGATTGTTATATGTGTATATTTATTACGCAAACATAAATCCATTTTGTTAAAAAAATAGCATTGATAATTGATTGGAACGTGCGACAATAGTCAGGCAGGGTGCATTCATATTTTCTGCGTTAATTATCGTACGGCGATCCATCGATAAAACGCGATTGCAAGATTCGCACAATGAACAATTGTGTTTACCGTAATTTGACTTTCAAAGTTGAACAGATATAGAAAGAGAATAGGTTGCTGAGGACAATGAGAATGCGCAATTCGACGATATATCGTTCTTTCAATGGTATTTGACGTTTCGAACCGCGTTACAAACGACCTCATGAAAGCTCACGCACAAAGGTATCAACAGTGTGAAACGATTAAATTTTAATTGTACGAATATCGAGTGAAATCTCGATAACAGGAAGCGCGAAATAAACGGCTAACATCTCCGTGTCACTATCGAGATATAAAAATAAAATAATTATTCGCAAAAGATTATTTATAAAATAGTGATATTTAAGGCAATCGATGATCGTCGTGCACACGACAGAAATTATTTCGACAAATTACGAAAATGGAGAAATTCTACGAGGATGAGTGCGAGGGACTTTAAGTAGATAATCCCTTTGAACTCGCGTTAGGAGATTCTCGGCGATAACATGAAGAAGCTACGTCGTTTTATCTCGTAGAAGCGGAAGCTTACAATATAATCTCACATCAGCAAAGGCGCGCGAACCAGGAAATAAGTAAAAGAAAAGAATTCTTGCCCTTTTTATTGTAACCCCACAATTCTACGATTTAGCGAAAGCTAAGTCAAATACGATATTGCGTCTTTATTTATTAAGATTTACTAAAACTTTTTTATCTCTTTGTGCACATTACTTCAAATTTGAGATATATTTTATATTTATATAATCGTACAATAAGAATAAAAGTGGGTGAGATATTTATTAAAAAGTCGCGAAATCGATAGCTCAAAAAAATACAAAATATTTCGCTGTTATAGTTCAATATACGCGATGTCAAAATAAACAATTAGTGCGATTACTTTAAAACATCTCTCGTATATGGGAAGAATGATTTTGTTAAAATATTTGAAAATACAGCTAAATAGAAATTAAAAAAATAATTTTTTAGATTGCATTAAAATAATTATGTAGGACGCTCAAATTAGTAATTAGAATATCAAATCTTTTTGAATTGAAAATCAAAAATTTTTCTACATAATTATTTTAATGATTTAATAAAATTATTTTTAATTCAAGTTTAAATTTTAATTTCGGCGAAATTGTTTTTTTCATGTATGAAAGATATTTTTTTAAATGATCATATTAATTATTTACTTTGACATCACATATAGCATGCAAATTCGTGTGAAATATTTTTGTATTTCCTCGAGCTATTGATTTCGTTTTTCAATAAATATATCCATTCATCCATCTTTACTTTTATTTTGTGATGCTGACTGTGTACTTTTACAGTGCGCCTTTATTGTTCATCATTAGCCCCTTTAAAATTATGCAATTTCTCTCCTCACGTTTATTAAAATCTTCCTGCAGTTTGCAATTTTTCATTGTCCATTCCTCGCTCTACGTAGCTGCCACTTCACCTTTACATATCATTATTTTGCCGAATTAGTCGACACACCTCGATTACTGGACTACAACGAGATGAAGTTCTTCCGCTTTGCACCGCGCCATCCTTCCAAACCGAACAGACCGTGGATTTTCTCTTTCCTGTCCCCGTCTATCTCAACTACAAGGTACTTCGTTTTCAATTATCCTTTTAAGCGATCTCCGCCGTAAGAACATTGCAGACGGAGGCAATTTGTCCGATCGCTAGTAGAATTGCGGAATTTGAGTTTCTCTTCTTCTCGTCTACTTTCTGTCGTTAGAATATTGAATCGTAGGTAGGTATTACCAGAGATATAGCGTCTCTTTCTTCTTCACTCTCTTGCTAATTTAAATGAGCACGAAAGTGGCACTGAAGAAAGAAACAGTTCAAGAAAGGTTTTCCTTACCTTAATTAGTCTATATTGTTTCAATTCTCGCATTTAGCATTATTTATTTTTAATTGATAAAGCATATATGCGTATAAAAACTTTATTCTCTTTTGTTTTAAAATATTTTTAATAATTTTGTTTTAAAATATACAGTTGTCTATATTTCATTAAGCCTTTGGTTCTCGCAAGACGAAGTAAAACTTGCGTTAAAATTATACCAACTTTAAAATCTCTTTTATATTCTTCCTCTGTTCGTTATCACGCTACATTAAATTTGTCTCAGACACAGACGGGCGAAACAAAAAGGTGTTAAATAGAAAAAAAAGAGACATGTGAATTTGAGAGAGAGCAAATATTAGAGAAGTTTTCGTTCTTTGCTTCGTTTCTTCTAAGAAGATAAAACAATTGCGTCAAATTGTTCAAAAAGAGTTTACTCAGAAAAGTCTACAAATAGCATTTTATAAGGAATTTAAATCTGGCGTGAATGAAAAGAGCGTAAATTTACCCAAATTTTTTAATTTACAGCGAGCGTGTGAACCAGAAGCGTGCGGAAATTTTCCTTTCACGAAGCTACGATTTGATGAAGCGTAATTGTCATCATTATCAACATTGCTGTCTTGAAATTGATGGTAGATGGAAGATCGTTAGCACACGTTATCACTTACCGTTAATGTGTAAGTTGACATAAATGAACTTTGGTGGATGGGTGCTGATTTGACACTCATATTGGCCCTCGTCGCTACTGTTAACACGCTTGATACGCAGACGCCAGTTGTCTGGGTACTGAAATTCGATGGTATATCTCGAATCGCCCGTATACGTCTGCTGACCCACCGTCAGCAATCTCATCTTCTCACTGCTCTCCTGTCGCCGCAGCCAGGATACCTGCATACAAATACAAAACGATCCTTCTAAATAATGTGGTTTCATTTAAAACTAAAAAAATCGTTTTCATTATCTTTTGCTCGTTTACAATAATAATTTTACTAATTGTTGCGCACATCTTTTTGCGCGGACTTTCATTAGCCTTGAATTTATTGTTTATTTTTATTTTAAAGATTGAGAGTCAGATTTTATATATAAATATTTATATAAATAATATAAAAAAAATTGTCTCAAGTAATAACCGAAAATTTATAAGAAATTTCTAATCAAAATAGATATTTCTTATAAAGTTTTAGCCACAAAAATGCTACGAGTCAAATTGATCTATTACGTTTGCTTTTAAAATTATTTTGAATTTTATGATAAAAAGTCAGCGATTTACAGGAAAAGAGTGGCTGCTTTTAGCAAAAAGAACTGATCAATGAGAACTCAGTGATTCTTTAATGTGAGAGATTGGTTTCCTACACTTACATATTCCGCGAAGAACTAAAAGTAAGAACCAATCATATTAAAGAATCACTGAGCATTCACTGATCAGTTTTTTCTGCTGACATAGTCAATATATATAATAATATGTATATGCAGTTTGTAATCATAATATAATGTAAAAAATAAAGTATTCAACTTATTTACCTTTCTTTTCTGCAACTAAGAAATGATTTAAAATGTCGTCATCTTTTATATTTGTTTTATCATCCACTTAGAATTGCATTTTTTATTTTTAATAAAATTATAATAATTTATTACAAATTTCATTTGTAATAAAATTTTTAATAAAGAAGATTTTATTACAAAAAGAATGGAATTTATAATATTAAAATCCGACTATCCGTTCTTATACTAATTTTGTCAAATATTGTATAAAAAAGTTTCTATTTTTCTGTATTTTTTTAAACTATATTTGAAACAATTTTTTATTTTTTGTTAATAAGGAATCAACATATAAAATTTAAACATATTATTTATACATTATTTTTATTTCTTTATTTAATTTATTATTATTTATTTCTTTTATAAATAACGACGATTTTTCATTCTAAAATTCAAAAGTAACTATATATATATAAAACTTGACGTACTGGTGCAATTTGACATTGTTTTTTGTAACCAAAAATTTATTAAAAAAACATCTATTCTGGTTAGAGTTATTTAACACAAATATTTATTGTGATCCTGTATAACGATATACAAATATGACTCAACAGTGTCTGTAGCCACCAAAGATGTAGATTTTTTTCGGACCAAATGTCTACACTAGTCAATACCAAGTACTGCACGTAAAAATATCAACAGGTGTATAGACAATCGTTCATACGGATTTTTCCGGTTGTATCGACAATTCTCATGTGTACGCGTTTTATATGCAAGCATGTTTGCATCGCTCTGCTATCTTTTCTGTAAAAATATTCTATTCTTTTGACGACGTATATTTTATTTTCACATTTTATTTTTTGGTTAATATTTCTATCGCAATACTGCGGTAATAAAAAAACTTAATAGAAATTTATTGATTATGCTGGAAATAAGCTAACATTACGTTGATGTTTCCTACAGAAATATTTTTATCAGACAGATATTCGTCTGATAACTATATACAGCAAATATTTTTCCAATAAATAAAATATTTTTTTTCATATTGTTTCTTTTCTGTACTTTAAAGAACAGCGCTTGATTTGTGACTAAATTGGATTTTATTGTATCTCAGTACAATAAATAAATTTATATTAAATAGCGATTATAATCGAGATTTAATACAAATTTATGTCAAGATTAGAGATAGCAAATATGAAATACATAGAGGAGTTTATCCGTGTAACTGACGTTGAGTTAACATGTTGCTGAATAGCCCTGTTATAGATGTATATATATGTAATATCTTCTACACAAATCTATGGGAGCTAATTG